AGAAACAGGTCACAAAAGACAGAAATGGAGGAAAGCAAACTACTAAATATAGAATTCAAAACCACAATGATAAGGTTACTCAAGAATCTTCTAGAAACTGCCAATAAATTTAGTGAGATCTTCAAGGATATGGAAAAGGACCAACTAGAAATTAACCATACACTTACTGAAATAAAAAATAATATATAGCCGAAACTAGTTTGGCTCAATGGATAGAGCATCGGCTTGGGGACTGAAAGGTCCCGGGTTCGATTCCCATCAAGGGCATGTACCTTGGTTGCGGCATATTCCCAGTAGGGGGTTCGCAAGAGGCAGCTGATCGATGACTCTCTCTCGTTGATGTTTCTAACTCTCTATCTTTCTCCCTTCTTCTCTGTACAAATAAAAAATATATTAAAAATAATAATAATAATAATAATATATAGAGATCCAACAGCACACTAGAGGATTGCAAGAATCAAGTCAAAGATTTGAAATACAAAGAAGCAAAAAACTTTCAACTAGAAAAGAAAAAAGAATCCAAAAATATGAAGATAGTGTAAGGAACCTCTGGGACAACTTCAAGCTTACCAACATCAGAATTATGGGAGTACCAGAAAAAGAGAGAGCAAGATATTGAAAACCTACTTGAAGAAATAATGACAGAAAACTTCCCCTACTTGGTGAAAGAAATAGACTTCCAAATCCAGGAAGTGCAGAGAACCCCAAACAAAAGGAATCCAAAGAGGACCACACCAAAACACATCATAATTAAAATGCCAAGGCAAAAGACAAAGAGAAATATTAAAGGCATCAAGAGAAAAATAGTTACCTACAAGGGAGTATGACAATCAGCTGATTTCTCAACAGAAATTATGCAGGCCAGATGGAAGTGGCAAGAAATATTCAAAGTGATGAATAGCAAGAACCTACAACCAAGATTACTCTACCCAGCAAAACTATCATTTAGAATTGAAGGTCAGATAAAGAGTTTCATGGATAAGAACAAGCTAAATGAGTTCATCACCACCAAACCAGTATTATATGAAACTAGAGGCCTGTTGCACGATATTCATGCAAGAATAAGCCTTCCTTCCCCTGGCTTCCCTCCCAACCGCCCAAAAGCCATCAAGTCCTCACTCCAGTAGCTCCCTCCACCACCACCCCTTGCTCTGCGCCTGCATATGCAAATTAACCTCCATCTTTATTAGGTTAATTTGCATACTCACTGTGATTGGCCAGGGGCATAGCAGAGTGATGGTTAATTTGCATGTTTCTCTTTTATTAGGTAAAATGCTGAAGGTATTTTTTAAGAGGAGAAAGAAGAAAAAGGTAAAGACAAAAATTATGAACAACAAAGTGACAACAAATACATACCTATCAACAAGTGAATCTAAAAATCGAGTAAAAAATCTGATGAACAGAATAAACTGGTGAATATAATAGGATCAGGGGCATAGGAAGGGAGTGAATAGACAATTCTCCGGGGAAAGGGGTGTAGGGGTGTGGGAAGAGACTGGACAAAAATTGTACACCTATGGATGAGGACAGTGGAGGGGAGGGGGCAGGTTATAACACTGGGTGGGGTAGGAACCTGGTAGAGGGGAGCTACGGGGGGAAAAAGAGGAACAACTGTAATAATCTGAACAATAAAGATTAGTAAAAAAGATAAAAATAGAAAGCCCAAAGAACCACTAGTAAAATCAGCAAGAGCTTTGAGGAAATAAATAAAAGCAAGTTGATAGCTTTTGGGTAAAGTTATAAGCTTAATGAATGAAGAAACAAAGAAGATATCTTACATGCTGTGAATATCTTACACGTAAGAAAAGAATGATCACTATTATTCACATGCTTTACCCACATAAACAATGAATACTAATAAGAAATTCAGTCCTTTGACCCACAAGGTAACTATATTTTTGGTCAAAGTAACTCTCCCGAAGTTTAACAAGAAAGCACTGGTGCTAATTCATTAGGCATTGCTGCCCTTGGTCAGGAAGTGAAAACATACTTCCCACAATTCCTCATCCTCCCCTGGGGGCCTCCGGAAATTCTTTTTCCAGTCGCACCTCAACAGCTCCACTTCCCCCAGTAATCAGTGGGGACATAGCACCCCACCAATAACAAATACTCCACCAAAAATCTGTTAGAACTAATAAACAAATTCTGAAGGTTGCAGGATACAAAAATCAACAAAAAAAAATATGTTGTTATTCTGTACCCTAGAACAAACTATAAGAAATAAAAAATAAGAAAACAATTTGCAACTTCATCAAAGAATATAAAATACTAAGGACTAAATTTAACCAAGGAGGTGAAAGACCTGTATACCAAAAACTATGACACAAAGAATTATAATAAGACACACATTAATGGAAAGGTATTTTGTACTCATGAATTGGAAGAATTCATATTGCTAAAATGTCCATTATACCCAAGACAATCTATAGATTTAAAGCATTTCCTAACAAAATGCCAATGACACTTTTCATATAAATATAACAAGCCATCCTAAAATTTGTATGCAACCACAAAAGATCCTAGGTAGCCAAAGCAATCTTAAGAAAGAACAACAAAGCTGGAAGCATCATGCTCCCTGTTTTCAAACTATACTACAAAGCTATATTAATCAAATTTTATAGTATTAACATAAAAATAGAAACACAAATTAATAAAACAGGAGAGAGCACAGAAATAAAACCACACCTATATAATCAATTAATTTATGACAAAGGAACCAAGACTATACAATTGGGAAAGGATAGTCTCTTCAATAAATAGTGTTAGGAAAACTGGAGATCCACATGCAAAAGAATGAAACTGGATCACCATCTTACCCCATTCACAAAAATTAAAATGGATTAAAACCTTGAACCTGAAATAAACAACCTGAAAAAAAAAAAAAAAAAACAGGAAGAGAATCTTGCCATTTGCTACAATATGGATGGGCCTCGAGGGTATTATGTTGAGTGAAATAATTAATAGGAAGAGTAATGCCATCTGATCTTACTTACACATGGAATCTAACAAAAATAAAGAAACAAAACCATAAATATAGAAAACAGATTGGTAATGTCCAGAGATGGAGCGGGGAGGGAGTGGATAAATAGGTTAAGATGGTTAAACAGTACAAAATTCCAGTTATAAGATGCATTAAGTCACAGGGAGGTAATGGACAGCATGCATTATACATTGAGAGTTGAAAGAAAGCAATACTTAAAAGTTTTCATCACAAGAAAAAAATATGTGTAACTATATTGGTGATGGATGTTAACTAGACTTATTGTGGTTGTTATTTTGTAATATTTACAAATATCAAATCATTATGTTGTACATCTGAAACTGCATATGTTATATATATTTCAGTTGTCTCAATTTTTTTGCCAAGTGATAACATAAAAGTGACAATACACACACAAAGTAAAGAAAGAAAGAAAAGATATGCCAAAGGAGACAGGCACCAGAACATTTGTTAAACGTTTCTTGGCTAGCAAATAAAACCTGAGATAAACTAAATCTATGTGAAGAGACTGTAGTATTATAATGGGGTATAGTTATACAGTGAAACACTATATAAATAATAAAAAGGATCAAATAAATCCACATTAATAAAACAATAATAACAAGGTAAATCTTTGGACTCCTTGTGGGAGACTCCCATCAGATTAAGCGGTCATACTTTACCTCTAGACAACTGGAAATCATTGTCATTTTTCCAGCTAGACACTGACACAATAGGAGTCACTTTAAGAAGATTGATCTGGGAACTAACTATAACCGTGATGGATTAAAGATAAGTAATTTTAGAAGTAAATTCCATTAAAAAGCTATGACAACAGCCCAGGTACAAAATAATAAGGGTCTTGAGTTCAAGTGGTCATAACTGGAATGGAAAGAGACAGATGCAGGATCACAAATAAAGGCATGGCAAAACTTAGGGGCTGAAATGAAAAAGGGCACGTTATAGGATGCACGTTTGTTCTTACACCCCAACATTCATATGTTGAAGCCTTAACCTTCACTGTGGTGGAATTTGGAGATGAAAGTCTTTGGGAGGTAATCGGGATTAGGTGAGGTCATGAAAGTGGGGCCTTATAAAAAAAGATACTAGAAAACTTAATCTCTCTCTCCCCACCCCTTCACACACAAGAGTTCACATGAGCAGGAGATGTCTCATAATGAAACCTATTATATGTTACCAGCACCTTACCTTGGTCTTCGATTTTTCAGTCTTCAGAATTGTGAGAAACAAATTTAAATTTCTGTTATTTAAGCCACTCTGTTTATACTCTTTATTATGACAGCTTGAGCTAAGACTGGTGAGGTCAAAGTAAAACTGATTTTTAATATGGATACATAGAAAAATGATAATTCTGAGAAACAGCAAGGTAACAAGAGGATCCAGTTTGAGGAGATAGCAATCTAAACCCACATAATTAGATCAACTTCAGCTGTCCCTAGGTCATGCAAATCAAATGGGGACTATATACCTTGTAGATAATATAATAAAAAAAATTTAATTGAACATAAAATGATAATACATGGGTATGTCTTTCTGTAAGATGAGCACACACTGATTTTACTTTTAAGACAATAGGATTGGCAAAGCTATAAGAATGTAAAAAAAAAAAAAAAGTCATTTGGAACTCTCTGCTGTTGGTTTATGTTGGCGTTTGTGCTTCTATTTAATCTCCTCGAATGATGTTGGTAATGAGCTTGTCAAACAATTTTCTGCCAGGATTTGATATATTACATTCAAATTGTTTATATTTTTCTTATTTTATATTATGATGCGCCAGTGGCACATAATAAAAGGAAAACCCATTCAGACCAAGAAGGTTTTTTCATTGCCAAACTTTATTCTTTGATTGTTGTTCTCTTTTGCCCACTAGACCCAACCTCAGCCTCCTCCTTGGACCTTCACCACACTGTGTCCTTGGGCTATGCATATTATGTCATCTGGCAAATATCTTCACTTCTTTCTTCCAGTCCCACCCCACCCTCCCCCGCTCCAACAACTCTCAGTCTGTTCCATGTACCCATGCCTCAGGTTCTATATCGTTTGTCAGCTTATTTTGTTCCTTAGATTCCATCAGCCTGGACTTGTGTAAAATCTGCATTCCCTGCTGGGCCTGAAACATCCCAAAGCTCAATTTTGTAATTAAATTGTGACTAAGATTTAGATGTTGCAAAAAGGGTAGTGATCCAAATGTATTCCTCTCAATAAATCCTATTTTATTGCAGGATAAGTCTAAATACTGGAGGGAGTGCAGGCCTTCAAATGAATCCTTACGCAATTCTCTCAAGTTATTTCCACTGAGAATTAGTTTCTCAACCAAATGGTATGACTTCCATGTGTCTTTACCAATGTAAGAAATAGAGTTTCCTTGCAAGTTTAAGACAGTAAAAGTACCACTGTAGGTGTGGGGCTCTGGCACGGGCACTCTGTGGAGTCTCTGCTTTGGGCCAAGACCAGTACAGGAAAGTGTTCCATTACTGCAGGTACAGAGCTTACATACGTTCATGGTGGCACTCCGTTCAGTCACTGGAGGAACTGTCTCAAATGACTCTCGTTGCTGAGTTCTGATGACTTCCGGGTCCACAGACTGGACCGTGACTTCAGTCAACATTGGCTGCTGAGCCTGAATAGGCTCTGGAGGTGCCACCTCAGAGGGCTTTGGGGGAGCTGTAGTTTGCTGCAGGGCTGCACCATCAGCTTCCAAAGTAGGTTTAGGGGTGATGGTCAGCTCCTGCTCTGGCGGTTGAAATGTGACTTCAAACAATGTTGGCTGCTGAGCCTGAACAGGCTCTGGATGTGGAAGTGCCACCTCAGGGGACTTTGGAGGAGCTGTAGTCTGCTGTAAGGCTGTGGCTGAGCTGGGCTGAGCTGTGGTCTCCTGCTGGGATGGAGGCTTGAGCTTGTCTATGAACTTTGGAGGATGAGCTGAGACCTTGTCAGCTGCAGATAGTTCAATATTTGTAGGGGGCTCTGAAGTGATCAAAACCCCCAGATCCACACCTTCAACATTGATAATAGGCAACACTGGATGCTGAGCTTCACCCGAACCAAGAGGTGAGACTGTTGCCTCACGATGGACTGAAGGTTGAGCTACGACATCCATAGAGGATTTCCGGGGCTGAGCTCGACCCTTCTGCTGGCCTGGAGAAGGCTGTACACCTGCCAGACACACGTGCGAGGGGGGTGAGCTCTTCTGCTGGATTGAAGATTGAACACATTCAGGGGAGGATGGAACTCCTTGGTGGACTAACAACGCTTTCAATAGCTCAGAGGACACTGCAGACTGAGTTTGAGCTTCATGTTGGGGTGGAAGCTGAGCAGAAGCTTTCTGGGAGTTTGGAGAAGCTTCCCTTGTCTCGGAGGACTCTGGAGGCAGAGCTGAGACTTCCTGTCTGGATGACGGAAGTTCATCGTCTTCAGATATACATATAGGGTTTTGCTGATCCCAAGACCTGGGCTCGATGGGCCCAGGGGAAACGGAGGTCAGCAGGACAGGGGCCAAGGCCAGAGGATGAGCAGCCTGAACTTGCAGCCACATCAGCTGCCATGTGAACAGGAGCCGTGAGGCCCAGAGATGCAGCCCGGACATGACAGGAACAGGTCCGGGGCACAGCGATCCTTCCAGGCAAATGAGGCACTGGCACCATGTGCTGAGTATGAGCCCAACAATTGGCAGCCGTGTCACAATTGGTAGCTATGCCATGTATGCGCCACTTGGCAACCAAGCACCCCTCCCCCGCCTCAAGTTCCAAACTTTATTTAAGCAAGTTTTATTAATCGTGGGCTGAGAGTGACTTCAGAAGAGCAAGCCTTCTTAGCAGAATCACCAGGGACCAAGTGGTCCTTTTCCCCTGCATAAAACACAACTACCTCTCCCTGGGTCTCTCCTCCCTCCTCACCACTGTGAGGATTTGAGCTTCACACCTGGTGGCCCAGAGTCCAGCAGCCCAGGGATGGTGAGATGGTGGGGTGTCCGGGAGTGTTGTAGTGCTTCCCGAGGAAGCCACAGGGCCTGTCATCCCAGGAAATTCAAAAGTGCTAATCCAGTTCTGGCAATCTGAAATCTGAGAGACAGTCTTCCTCCTCTTGGCCATACTGCTTCCAGGAAAAGTAGACAACCTATAAAATGAACAGTTAGGGTGGTGGGGAGGGAGGGGGACACACTTTACAGTTCTAAAATGTTGCCATTTTCTCAAAATTCTCAGTATCCATGTCTGATTCTTTTTTTTTGTTTGTTTTAAATCCTCATCCAAGGATATGTTTATTGATTTTAGAGAGAGAGGAAGGGATGGGAGCAGGGAAAGACAGAAACACAGTTTGAGTGAGAAACATCAATTGGTTGCCTCCCCTACCCACCCCAACCAGCAACTCCTTGGTGCATGGGATAATGCTCCAACCAAGGAACCACCACCCGGCCAGGGCTCTGTGTCTGATTCTGAATTCACCATTCTATTACATTGGGGTTGCCACTGAATCAGGATGACTACTAAATGTAGGTAGATGGGGTTTTGGAGAATGAGCAATTCATTCTGGGATAGAGGGTCTCACACCAAGTGAATAACTCTTTAAGTGGTGGGGGAAAACGTCCCCCTCCCACCTTGGCTCACCACAGCCATTATTCTAGAAATGTAGCAATGCCACTTTTCTAAGGTCTACCCTGAGCACAAATGGAGAAGATATTTAGACTGTTAAAGCCAGAATGTTGAATCATTTTTTAAATACTGTAACTGGCACCTAATTTGCTTTCTTCACAGCCCTTTTTATATTATATTTTATCCTATATTTATTCCATTCTTCTTGTTTCGTGTCTATCACAACCTCCAGCATGTAAGCTCCAAGAGAGAAGGGGCTGCATCTTATTCCCAAGTGTTTAATGCATAATAATGGTTTTACGTGGAACTGATTCCAAGATTGGCCTCAGGTAGGGATGGATCCCTTGTTATAACCTGGTTTCTGAAACCTTTAACATCAATACTAAATCCCTTCCTCACATATTTCACAGGAAGACAGATTTCTAAAACCCCAGGATAATACCAGAGCTTTTGCTTTCTCATCAGAGGTTCCAAATTTCAAAATTCCAGCTAAGTTAAATGCAAGAACTATTCTATTTCAGCTATGATTTAAATTTTTAAATTATCAAATAGTTAATTTCTTTTTTAAATTGAATGTATTGGGGTGACATTGGTTAATAGGATCACGTAAGTTTTTGGTATAAATTTCTATGATACCAGATCTGTGTGTTGCACGATGTGCCCACCACTCAAACTCGGATCTTCTTCTGTCACCATATGTTAGCCCTGCTTCACCTCCCCACCTCTACCCCCTTACCTTCGGCAGCCACCACACTGCTGTTTGTGTCCATGAGTTTCAGTTTTACATCTCACATATAAGTGAAAGCATATGGTTTTTAGCCTTTCTTGATTGGCTTATTTTATTTAGCATAATATTCTCAAAGTCCATCCATATGGTTGCAAATGACAGTACTTCATATTTTCTTATGGTTGAGTAGTATTCCATTGTGTATATGTACCACATCTTTTTCCAGTCCTCTATCACAGGACACTTAGGTTACCTCCATGTGTGGGCCACCATGAATAATGCTGCAATGAACATACCAATGCATATATCTTTGTGAAGACATGTTTTTTAGTTTTTTCGGGTACATACTCAGGAGAGGGATTGCTGGGTTGAATGGTAGCTCTATTCTTAATTTTTTTTTTTTTTGAGGAACCTCCATACTTTTTCCATACTGGCTATACCAGTCTACAGTCCCACCAGCAGTGAATAAGAGTTCCCTTTTTTCCACCACCTCTCCAACACTTGTTATTACTTGTCTTTTTGACAATAGGCATTCTAATAAGTGTGAGATGGTATCTCATTGTAGTTTTGATTTGCATTTCCCTAACTGCTAGTGAGGTTGAACATCTCCTCATACATCTATTGGCTATTTATATGTCTTCCTGGGAGGGGTATCTACTCAGGTCCTCTGCCCATTTTTAATTGGGTTGTTTGGTGTTGAGTTATATTAGTGCTTCATATATTTTGGATAGTAAACCTTATCAGAGCTATTGTTTGCAAATATCTTCTCCATCCGATTGGCTGACGTTTTGTTTTGTTGTCATTTTTCTTTGCTGTGCAGAAGCTTTTTAGTTTGATATAGTTCCATTTATTTATTATTGTCTTACTTCCCTTTTCTTTGGGGTCAAATTCATAAAATATTATCTATGAACAAAATCCATAATTTTGTACTTATGTTTTCTTCTATGTAATTTACTGTTTCAGATCTTATATTTAGATCTTTGATCCACTTTGAATTAATTTGTGTACATAGGACAAACTGTAATCTAGCTTCATTCTTTGGCATGTGGCTTTCCAATTTTTCCAGCACCGTTTATTGAAGTGGTTTCTTTACTCTATTGTGTATCTTTGGCTCCTTTGTTGCCCATATACATATGGTTTTAAATCTGAACTCCACACATAAATTTTGTGGGAACACAAATATTCAGCCTATAACATCTCCCTTTTCTTTCAGTTACGAAGTTCTGCCATGTCTTTCTTTGTGATAATGCATTCATCTGTCCCCTCCTTTTCAGTCTGATTATAAACATTTGAACTCAGGACCCTTATTATTTCATGCCTGGGCTGTTGCAATAACTTTTCAGTGGCATTTGCCTTCTCTAATAAGACGGCTTTTCCCATGTCTTGTATGTTTCTCTGTACTTCACTCTGATAACACCTTGTATGTCTCTTAGCCCAATTTACCTGTATTACAATGCCCTTTAACCTGTTCTATCTTACTGTCTAAACTCTGAGATTCTCAAAGTCCATCCAAGGAAACTGTGTTTCATCTCTATTATTTGGTGATTGACATAAAATAGGTGCTCTATAAACACTGGGTAAGGAAAGGAAAGTCACAGGGAAGAGATGGGGAAAGAGAGGTTGGGAGAATAGAACCATAATAAGGGCTTTAAGTCCCTGATCAGAGTCTCCCAAAAGCAGGACCTGAGTCAAGGGTTGAGTGAGTGGACCTAGTTTACCTGGAAGGGTTAAGGATACTCACACTGGGCTGGAATGTGGTACAAAAAGGAAAGAGAAGGCATACAATTAAGGATGCATTATTAAGGCAGCAAGCACTGTGGGTAGTGAAACAATATGGATGAGGGGACGCTCTTGGAAAAAGAATAAAGCACTTGAATCCTAGCCAAGGGTGAAGGAAGCAGGCGTGATTTACGCCCACACCCTTCAGTAATTGTTAGGGGCTGCTCCCAGGAGCACTTTAATTCTCAGGTGTTTTCAGTCTGATGTGCAAAAATGCTGGATGTTGGAAGTCAGGCTGGCATGGGTGGCAAAGGACCCCAGGGGATCTGAGTAAAGAACTGACAACATCTGTGATACTCAGAAACTAAAAAGAAATGTCATCAAGTTCTGTCCAAGAAAAGGAAAGAAGTGTGTTAAAATATGGAAACTTGGTATGCTCTGTTGCATCACTTCACAGATTTTAGGCTTTTATATTAAAAGAATCTAGTTTACAATGGCAGGAATCAGTCCAAGGCTAATTTAAGGAGACACACCATCATTAAAAACCTACACCCAAGCTTCACCAATATCAAGCTTCCTTGGAGGCAGTTACCTGACACGATCATCCTTAGAGCAATTAGTATGTAAAACAGACCAAAAAAAAAAGTATAGTTCTGTGGCTCAGGAAGAGGCTTGCAGAGGCTGAGATTATCTCTGATCAGCTTGATCCTTACCAAGGAACGGATAAGTAAAATGAAAGCAACCTCTAGAGCATCCTCTTTTAAAGAAGGGCTAATCAAGGTGACTGAAAAGAAATCTATCAAAGTATTCTCCTGGCACTTAGGATAGAGAAATATGTCCTTATAAGCTCTTTACACAAGCCACGTGAGTATGTTGGTGGTGGTAAGGCAGTAAGTTTTCTGCCAATTCAAAAGCACTGTTATAAATGTCACATGAATCCAAAAATAATGGCATATGCATACAAGTACACTTTTCTCATTTCTGACTGTTTGCAATCATTTCTAAGTTCAGTTAATAAAATCACCTTCAGGTAGAGTGTAACGCATGATTCATTAAGCATTTGAGAAACGCTTTTATGAACAAAGGACAGGGCTACACAACATGAGCCACTCAAAGAAGAAAACAGACTTTGCTCTCAGGAACTATAGGACTTAGCTAGAGGCCCTGCACATGGAATTCATTCATATGGGGTGAGGGGGGACTCAGCCCAGCCTGCACCTCTTGCAATCCAGGATCCCTCAGAGGATGTCCCACTGCCAGTTTAGGCCTGATCCTGCAGGGGATTGGGATCAGGCCTAAACTGGCAATTGGACATCCCTCTGGCAATCTGGAACTAATGGCTCCTAATCACTCACCTGCCTGCCTCCCTCATTGCCCCAAACTGCCTCTGCCCTGGCCCCCACCACAGCAGCTTTGTCTGGGAGGACATCAGAATGACGTCCAGAAGATTGTTTAGCTGTCCAGTCTATCATATTATGCTTTTATTATTATAGATAAAGGGGGCATGATTGATGTTGGGGGGGGGGGGAGGGAATAAGATTGCTAAATGTC